GTGTAGGTTTAGCACCATCAGAAACAATTCTATAGAATTTAGTTTTTGTTCGACTTAATATAGATAATCAATAATTTGAAGCACAATAAATGTTTATTGTTCAAACACTACTTTAACCTGTTCGATATAAAAAATTAATGTTTTTTTAGAATGAATAGTCACTTTACGAAAAATTAAAACTGCTAAAAAGTTTTATTAAATAATAATGAACAAAGAATATCTTTTGATGAGATGTAAGTTATTATTGAAACTCAAAATCTGAAAATTAGTGTAAGTGACAGAAATACTTTCTTCCTGAAAATTTATGTTTGTGCGAAGAAAATGTCATAGATTAGTCGATTAGGTTATTGATTTTTATTAAACGAATCGTAATTTAATAATTCTCATGTGAATCAATAATAAAAAACAATCATAATATTGATGAGCAGAGCTCAACAAAATTTAAAAAATTAAAATCTAAACTCATATGATTGATAAAGGATACTAAAAGGAAAAGTTTGCATCAAAACTAGACATGTTAATCATTGTAAAGTTGATTATTTCAAAAAAAAACAACAACATATTTTCATGTTATGTGTATGTGATATTAAATTTCTATTGTTATATGTTTGACGTTTGTTAACAGTTATTCATAATAGTATTCGAAATGAATGTGAGAGAGAGAGAGAGAGAGAGAGAGAAAAGTCCTTCATGACAAATTGGGGTGTGGGTGTAAATGAGAGAAAAAACAGAAAACTAGCTGACACTCACACCCATACCCATACCCACACCCACACCTCAGACCCACACCCACACCCACCCACACATCACACTCACACCCACATCCACACCCACATCCATCCTATTATCCTCTATATTCTTTCATCTCTCTTTGATCTCGTATTCGTTCTTTTCGTTCTTCTCTTTATATATGTATTCATCCATATCGTTATAAAAACAGTTGTTATATTTTCTTGAATAAAAGTAGTCCACGTACATCAAGGACATACGAATACATATATCGCTGTCGAACCACACATAGAGAGAAGAGAGAACGTTAACAATCATCATTATTAATATCACGAAAACAATTTTTGTCAACTTCTTCTACTTGTAAATATCGTTGACCATCGACATTTGTCCAATATTTATTCTTATCTAACTTCCGTTCGTCTATCGACATTTCATTTTCAATTGCAAATACAATACGTGCCCGTTCTAAATGCCTATTTAAAAGAATAAATCAATGAGAGAAATAAATAAATTGAACGAACCATATTTGTGTAGCACCTTCGATTACATTTCCATATGTATCACCCATCATAGCAATGAGTAAATTGAGTAGAAGAATAGAAACAACAATAATATAAATGACAAGTAAAGAAACACTGATATATTGAAATGTTGTTCCCGGATAATGATCAAGTTCAAAATCACCCAACATGCCAAAAAAACATTGTTTGATACTCACAAGAAAGCCACCAAAACCTATAATAATACAAAATAGAAACAAAAAATCCCTCATTCTATTTACCGTTATTATTGAATAGAACAAAGAATGCTTGTGAAAAACCAGCAAGAAATACCATATAAATAATACAAAAACAGAGAACATCATGAAAAAGCATTTCATAGATCATAAGCACAAATGGTCCAGTAAGTTGAAAAGCCATAACAAAAAATAGCATATAACCCCAGCCTATAATAGAGACAAATGCAAGTACGATCGTGTATGCTTGCATATCGAGTAGATGAAGAATGTTAACTATAATGATACCACAACAAAATAAAGATGATAGATAATTTTCAAGAAGAGCAGAACCCTAGTCAAAAATAATAACGTATACGATTCATGATAAACATCAGAAATAGAAAAGCTCACCGTAACTTGAAAATATTTTCGTACACCCACATTGATCATTTCTCTTATTTCAGATTTCCCCTTTGATACAGCTCCAGCTAATACAATGAGATGACCTATGGTGCGTACTATTTGATGAATGCCGCCTGGATGTTCAACACTAGTTACCACCATTTTTCTATCTTTACCTGTTGTCTACAATCAAAACAAGAACACAAAAAGAAATTTCAATCAAGGAAGGTTTTTTAACATAATGCTTTTACCGTTTCTATGCGTGTCTGATCGAGAATTGTAGTAATAAGAAAAATGAATAGATAGACAAGAGTGGCAAAAAAACGTCGAAAAAAAATACGGCCAGCAAAACGTTCCCATTTTTTATCGACTAAATCAATAATACGTGGATGCATAATAAGTTCAGCTTGAGCATTTTGTACAATCAATTCAAGAGCTCCAGGTGGTGTATCCCCGCCCTGAATGTATGTCGAAAAAACAAACAGAGGAAGTAATTATTTACTCACTTCTTGTTGAAATTCAAGTTCGAGTTCATCAAGTGGATAGAGTACACACGAGATAGGCCCATAACGCCATTGAACAATTTTACGTTCGTCAAGTAAAAAAGAGAACATATCAGTTACACCTAATTTAGCTGCTAATGTAAAGGGAGTGAAACCATCTTTATTGAGACGTTTCCATAATGGAACCTCTTTTTTCTTTGTGGATGCGACTTTATCGTCATCTACATTGCTAGACTCGCTAATCACCGTTGCCTGTACTTCCAACCAACGTTTCTTGAATTTAGTATACATTTTCGGTAGATTATGAATGACAAGTAAATGCAATATTGTATTCCCATTGCTATCAACCTAAAATAGAGAGTCAAACAAAATCTTCTGCTTGTTTTTTTCCTTCTGAAAAGCAGCGTTGTCTACTGACCATATCCATAGAGGCACCGTACTTGAGTAAGATTTCGGCAATATTCCATTGGTTAGCACAGCATGCAAATGCAAGAGGAGTTTCACCATAGTAACACGGACGGCCACTGAAAAGAAATGGAACATATTGATGTCATCCTAAAGACAAGAGAGAGATGTACAATTGGAAAAAGTGGCCATTGGCGGCAGCTGTCAATTGTTGTTTTCGATAGGGTCGAATATGTTCATCACTAAGCAGCCATTCGACCATGGTTGCATTACGACTGATAATAGCAATATGAAGAACAATCTCGCCATAATATTCCTGTATCATGTAGATGTCCTTCAACAGAGAGATACATGAATAGAAAGTTACTCACTGGCTGATTGTAGATCTGTACGACAGTCTCTGGAAAACGTGTGATGAGAT